GTGATGACTAGCCGCCTTCCCTCTAGTCTTACACTGCTAAATTAGGACGGCTAGCCCTCGTGTAGCTTTGCGCGAAATTAAAAAAACAAACAAACTCTCCTCTCTATGGGTCTGTTCCTTATGCACGGCAACGTCTTTATAACTACAAACTCTATCTTCAGGGTACAGATACAACTTTGTGCGGAAAGTGACATGGACTATGTGACCGCGGCCTCAAATGCAGTTTTGAGGCCAAAATGAAAATAGAGCAATTTTTGGCGAATTTCTCAAATTGAAAAGTCCGGATTTTTTTACTAATGTGTGACCAAAAGGGCTATTATTTACGTTTATTCTCTGTGTGGGGACTTCTCCACTTTCTCTCGAAAATGGGCGCGCACTTCTTCAGCTAAGTAGGTTTGCTTCAGCCCTATCTTTTGCTTTGCTTGCGTGTACTCGCAAGAATCAGCTGTACGATTACTTTACAAAAACGTTTGGTATTGGCAAATTTTCATTTAAGTTGTGTTGCAACGAGAAGAGAATAGATCAGTTCTTCATTAAATGTAACGATAATAAAGTCAGAATACGCTGCAAACGACACTTGACCACACATAAGAAATCAGGACACCAAAAAGTAGGGAACTTTGTTTTGGAAACTTGAAATGTTATGCAAAGCAGGAGCAGTGTACCCGGTTTTGCTCTGATTAAAATAGCTTTAGCAAATTTATTTGTTAAGACATTATTATTTTTATGGATTTTAATTAAAATATTTAGTGAGGTAAAGAAATTATTTTGATTTTTTATTTTTGCAAAGCATTGCGATTAATAGGGTTCATTTAATTAAAATAACTCGGGATATTTAAAGCCATTTTAATCCAAGCAACGCCGGGTACTCTGCTAGCTCTTCATAAATTCTAATTCTTTAGGTGAACATTTCATAGAAAATTTTCTTACAAGTACTTTACCTTTCATTATACTAATTTTTATACACAATTTACAAAATGTATATTTTTAGAAAAAGACCAAAACTTATAAACCAATAAAAGTGTGGCTAGGTTAAAGATTATTCCCTGATGATGAGGCTTTTATGTGTCTAGTGCCAGTAGTGGTGGTCGTTTCGTCAGTATGTTGGATATACTTTTGACTACCTCCTGTTCTGGACAATCCCATCTTTTTTGGATCAGCACCAACCAATTCATCACTTTCCAGCAAACAATATATACCAAGGTTTAGCTGAGGGATGCCATAGAGAACCGCTAGCAACAGCATCATAAAAGTCAATCCAATTAGAAGGTAAACTAAAGAAAAAAATAAAACAGTACTTTCAAAACTACAGATATTTACAGTGGAGCTGATCGCGTGTGTGCCTCATGAAACATTTTTATTTCAATATTATTATTATTTATTTTACCTAATCTAATCCTAACAAACCTAAAATGATCCACATTTTTACATTGTAGTTACTTTTATAATTATACATAAAGAATAAATATGAAAAACAAGAAATAAAATACTTAACCAATCTTTTTTCTTGTTGTCGGGTTTCCAAGAGAGTTAACCCTCATTTTTTATACTATAGATATTAATGCACTTAATAATTTTTATTTAATTAAATAATGCACCAACGAATATAGACTAATAACATGCAAAAAGTAGACAAATTCACTTACCTCTCAAATATTTCCTGGCTTTCCAACAATGCTACAAGAGCCGTTACAAATTCATCCAAGCTAGTCCCTAACTTTCCCACGGGAACGATATTCGTACTCTGAATGAAATTGACATTTAACCGTTCAGAGCATAACATTATACAATAAGTCATTTGATAGATGAAAACCTTGACTTTATATTGGTTATAGGTAATATATAATGAAACATAGAGAAAACTATCAATGAATTGTGAAAGAGAGGATGTGACAAGTGGGTGTGGCAGGAGGTCTATTCGATAGCTCTGTAACCAAACAAGACTGAAGGCTATAAAAATTATGGTTTGTCTGAGCAATAACGATTTAATAGAGTAATTTACGTTTAATTTCGTACGTTTTCGAGGAGTGGTGGGTAAAATACGGATGATGACATGCTAATACTGTTCATTATTGGGCTAGGGTGATTCCAAGCTCCCCCAGGCTGGTATATTGCACTGGACGAGCTTATATTGCTGCTTTCAGTATGTCCCAAGCGTGTTTGATAGAATTCAGGTCAGGTGAACATGTTGGCCAGTCCACTTGCTCGATACTCTCATATTCCAGGTACTGGTTCGCCAGTCTGGTCTTTTGTGTTCTTGCACTGTTACTCATTAAAATGAAATCTGGCTCATGTGTATGATCTCACTTTGAAAAGACATCTAGGATCTCATCCCTGTACCTTTCTTTATTCAAAGCACCATTCTGGATGACGCACAAGTCTCTGTGACTCCTGAGACTGATATCACCCGAAAAAAATCACTGACTCACCTCCACATCGGTCATATTGTATTACATTCACATCTTCATATATCTCATTAGGTCGTCTCGACTCTAGAGTGTGTCCATCATTATATCAAGCCAGTATCTGGACTTGTCCATGAAGAAAGCATCTCACTAAAGAGCCTGTGTTCAGTCCAGTTCAAGCCTGTGTTTGGCTCTCATTGGAACTCGCACTGCTGGTCTTCTTGCTCTCCAAATGGCTGCATGGAGTCTGTTTGTCACTGTCTGGGTGGATACTGTAACTAAAGAAGCATTTCTGAAGTACTTGTTCCAGTCAAAGGCTGATATTTACATGCTGATATAACAAGGTATCGGTTTTAACTGATGTGTTGTTGCCCTTTGCCGACCACCAACATATCTCCTACATACTCTTTCTGTCTCTTGGAAGCGATTCCATTCCCTAGAGACTACACTTTAACTGACTCCCAATGCAGTAACCTTTTCTTGTACAACCCTCCTTGGATCATCCCTGTTTCTCTTGAGAGCTTTTGCACGATCAGATGGCACCAGCGTGGCATCAGAGGAGTGTACTGAATGAAGCAGTAAAGCTATAAAATGTATCTTAGAAGTTTTGAATGGTCTTTGGCTGTCTCAATTTGAAAAGCATTTGATAATTGTAGAAGACATGTCAAACAAAGCACGTGCACAAATATTATTTCAAAAAACTAGTTATATCTACTAAAGCTATTGCTAGAAAATGATTGTCCTTAGCAAATTTTGAGGAGCATAGAAACTATCACAAGAGTTCTCTGCAGCAGAGGCACATGCTCATGTTGGTTTACTGTCAAAACTAGCTGAGAAAAACGTATTTTATGAGACTATCATGTGACAATATTCCTGCAAGCTTATGTGTCGGTTGAAGTGAACAGTGGAATGTTTTATGCACGCAAATCTATACAAATACAAGCAAATGATTTGATCAATCATTCATTCATGGAGGATAAATTATCTCACTACAAGTAAAAAGAAAATACGCCATTGGATAGTCAACATGGTTTCACTTAGGGAAAATCTTGCCTTACAAATCTTTTGACATTCTTTGAATTGGTTACTGCCTATTTAGATGAGGGTAACAGTGTAGATTTGATGTATATGGATTTTCAGAAAGCATTTGACAAGGTGCCACACAAAAGGCTTGTACAAAAATTATCTCTATAGGTGTGTGGGGGATAAGCTAGAAGATTGGATAGAAGAGTGGCTGGATGGAAAAAAAGCAGAGGTTGTTATAAATGGAATTTAGTCAAACCGGATTAATGTCACAAGTGGAGTACCTCAGGGCTCAATCTTAGGATCTTTGCATCTTTTAATATGCATCAATAATATAGATGAATAAATGGTCAATAAATTACTTAAATTTGCAGATGATATTTTGGTCTTCGGTGTTGCTGGCTGTGAGAATGCTGCTGCTGCTTTACAAAAAAAAAGATATAAATTATTTAGTAAGTTGGGCAAATAAATGAGG